ATCTAATTGCTCAAACAAAGTTGTACTTTGTCAGTTGACCCCTTTTTTTGTTTTTTTTTATTAGAGAGTTACTTTTTCCGAACAAGATCGAATCAAAAGGACAACATTCTGTAGGTGTGAACCTTGGAAGTCATCAAAGTGTCCTATAATAGTTTTCCAATGCTCATTACCGGTCAACATGAATCGACTAGTAAGAGGAGCAGAATCCATTTGATTCGTCCTGTGAGATCTCATTTTTTTTTTTTATCGATCAAGCAATAGAAATCCAACTCCAATTCACCTCATTCAACAACGACACCATTTTCACCAATCATCACCAAATCAGTCAACAAAATACATTTAATGTAAGACTGACAAGAAAAAGGCTCAAAGCTCAAACGGGCTACTAGTGGAAATTCTTTTTTGGATCAAGAATAAGGCAAAAATGAGCTATCAAACAAAACGCCTCAATAATATTTGCAATTTCAAACAAACTCAAGGCAAGTTCTAATCATTCATGAATATGACCAATATCCCACAAGAAAGAAGAGTAAGGATTAAAACCTCACAAGGCAGATAAATGTCACTCACAACAATCAAGCAAATACCGAGGCAATGACCAATACGTTCGTCATCACAACTATCCAATTTCATCAAACATTCATCAACAAATCATATAATCCACCAATACCACATGCTCAACAACAAAAAAACCTAACAACTAGACCGATCCACCACATAAGCATGCAAAATACGAATAAACTCCCCCAGACTTAAAATTAGGCAATGTCCTCATTGCTTCAACGCGAAACTGGAAGTCAAATAATAGGACTTAGCAATTTCACATAACGAACCAATAGTAGCAGCTAACACAAGAACACAAAACTCAAAAGAAAAGACACGAAGCGACCTTACAAAGATAAAAAGAGAAAGGGTGTGCAAACCGAAGTAGTATCAAAGGAACTAAACATTCACGTGCAAGCCTTTTGTCCATGCTCAACCCAGTCCTCAATACTTCCTGCCAAGAAAAACCACAAAAACTCCAAACTCCAATTATTCAAAGATAAAACAAAAGGAAAAAAAAGAAAATAACTAAGAAAGCAGTAAATCACTTGGGTTGCCTCCCAAGAAGTGCTTGTTTTACGTCATTAGCCTGACGAAACTTGTGGATGACTTAACCAGGATCCAAAAGGAAGTGACGATCGTGCCACGCCTTTGTATTCTCTAGCAGTGGTAGCATGGGCAGTGTGGCAAGAAGGCGGGCACGGTGGATCCGGGTGGTTGTGTTCTTGAAGAAGCAAATGTGGGCACGAACAATCTCCAAGTACTGATGAAGAGCCTTGTTCACCAACTCTCTATAGTTGACCTCGGGAACTGTGAAAATATCCGTAGGGCATGTCGAGCTATACCCGTCTCTATCAGTAGCACAGAGTGGTGGCTTGATCATGGGAGAGAAATCCTGAGAAAATGTAAACTCAGGAACATCTCGATCAGGATCAAGAATCTCCTCCACTAGGGTGTCACTCTCGATATGTGGAGCCACAACTTCATCGTCGTCAAGCTCGCTCATACGCATCGACTTACATGTTCGGGCACCAGGTGTAGGATGTGGATCATGGTTAGGGGCCTCATAAGCTTGTGATTCAATACGGTCGATGCGTGTTGTTAGGCTTTCCAATTGTGCACTCAACCGAGCACATCCGAGCTCAGTCTCTTCATCTCGAGTTGCTTGTGCCATCATCCGATCGAGGATTAGATCAAGTTTCTCGTTGAATGCGGCCTCTTCTTCTCGAGTTGTTATAAAGGTAAGAATCCTGTAACGCCCCACTTTGATTTTAAAGAAATTCCGGACTTTCAGAAAAATCAGATTAAATTTTTCAAAATTTATTTCAAACATATTAATGGCGTTACTCATTTTCAACATCAATCATCAATATAACTTCAACTCCCAAAACGGGTTTTCAACAGTTCAACATTCACCCAAACTGGGTTCCAACAATAATCATAGCATCTAAGAAGCATCTCCTTAACATTATTCAAATCATAAAATCCGAAAACCATAAATGCAATAATATTCCAAGTTCATAAATCATAAAACCAGTTCATTACGCGGAAGCAAAACAAATAATAACACCGGTCTCATAGACCGACCACCACTTGCTCTGCTCCGCCGTCGTACCTGCCTCGCTTAACTTGAAACGTTAATTTCAGGTGGGGATGAGCACATGTAGAAAAAGTAGTGCTCACCACTATGCAGTAAACATTAATCAATATATATAGACAATAATCATAAATAAGTCAAGTATGGTCGCAGCATGTATACGAATCAATTAATTATCCCAATCTCACATTAATAATATCAATAATAAGACTCATGTGCACACCTATGTATAGACTACTGCCGACTATATATAGAAGGCCATGGCCCTAGCCTTCTGGTCTTACAACGAGTGTCCAGCCAGTAGGAGTAAAACCACCCCGCCGGCCAAGGCCTCGCCTTGGTCTTACAAACGAGGATCTCCAGCCGAGGGACCTAAGCTCTGGTCTTACGGCTCACAAAAGAAGACTACCGGTACGTTCTATAGCTACGAGGATACGTTCAACGACCCGTACAGCTCACATCGAAGGCTATATGGTTCACATGCATACATTGATCATACCACAAATTATACATTTATAACATTTACAGCATATCAAATTTTAAATAAAACCCACCTGGTAGTTCGGATTGATGATAGCAAAATCAGAATGGACGTAGGTCGAGGCTTGACTCCTCAAACACCTACATTAAGTCAAGATGCTACAATCAACATCTATCTTGACCTAAGAAGGAAAACACAATCATACTTAGTCGAACTTGATTCGACTAAGTTGTTCGTGAAGTCCTGTGGACGTTGGAACACTTAGACTCGACGACACTAAGACTCAACCAATTACACATGGGAGTTCACATAATCTCAATCAAAGAATGTCCAAGTCAAACACACAAAGAAACAGAAGGCGAGTCGATTTACATTTTTTGTAATACAAAAACCATATATTTGAAAATACTAGTTTTTAAATCACCTAAACAAGTTATTCAGGTTGCCCTATAAATTAGACTCCGAAATTTTAACCAAAAATTCACCTCCCAATAATTAGAAAAACCACAAAGTTTCAGCCCCATACTTAAAGTATGCTATTTATAAAATTCGAACAAGTTTATGGCAAAAAGGGGCATAAATTAACAACCAGACCAAATGAATGATTCAAACTTTGAAAATTTTATCCAAGGAACCTCAGCATGTGAATACCAGTGTGTAAAAATCTCAGCTCTAAATACCTAACATGCGAATTAATAAAATTGTAACAACACTCAGCAGATTTCAAATTTTTAACAGAACTGAACCTAAATGAACTCTAAAAATTCAAATATTTTAACAGCATGAAATACACCACAAAACAGGCACTTCAACCAAAAACAGAATTTTTCAACATCTGATAAATTTATCATAATTAAAACAATTTTCGGCAGAAAAACTTAAATAATTTATTTATCTAAACTAACAGAGTCCAAAAATTATGAAAAATTTACACAGCAATACAACATTCCAAAGACACAACATACTCGAATTTCAGCTAATTTGGAGCACTACACAATTTATTATGTATTTAACATGAATCTGACCAGAAATCCTTTTAATTAAGTAAAATTGCTACAGGCCATGAAAAATTATAAAATTGTTACACGAGCTTCATAATCAATAGAGGCAACTACAACCAAAATTTCATGGCAATCGGACAAATGAGCAATTTATCATGAATTTAATATCAAACCAGCGATTACACATGTTCGTAAATTCATAACCGACTCAATTTACGATGAAATCGTCCGAGGTCTTCACCATAAGACCAAGGATCATAAAATGTTCCATTCCGCAGCAACTTAAACACGAATGACGAGGTCAATTCCGATTTCTCAAAATCGAAGAGCTCGTCTACACAATAATATATATATTGAACCAATTACAAAGACATAAATTGTAAGTCTTATATATATATATATATTTGTAAAGCACGTTCAACACATTAAATAATTGCATAACATAAATTGATACATAAGATTTAACGTGATGGGGGATTCGAGCCTTGTACCGTTCTCGGGAATCGTTCGAAAAACAGAACGGGAGACGCGAACGGCAACGCGCGGCTCACGAGGGGAGGACGACGGCTTGTGCTTGACGGAAGCAGAGGTGCTACGGAGGAGCAGCAGGGTCATCGGGTTGCTGGGATTGCCGGAGGAGGCTGGTCGCGGCGGAGCAGCTCTTGGTTCGCGGCGAGGGAACGGCAATGGAAACAACGACTCACGGTGGAGGAGCGGTTCGCCGATCGGTACAGTGACGGGCTCGCGGCTTGCTGAACCGAGGAGGGTTCATGGCGGAGGGTGACTCACGGCGACGTGAGAGTGATGATTGGAGTTGCTGCGTTGACAGAGGGGCTCGCGACAGAGGCTCGCCGGCGACTTCTCACGGGATGAAGGCGGGATGACGATCGAGGATGGTGATGATGATGAGGGCGATGGTTGATGATGGTGATCGGAAAGTGTGCAGGGAGACTGTGAGGAGAAAGGTTTCTCTTATCTGATCGAGAGAAAGAGACGAGATTTCTTCTCTGGTCTAAGACGCGTGAGAACGAGAGAAGATTAGGAAAAAGCTGCGGTGGAGAGTTGTGTGATTTTCTCTGATATGAGCGGGTGAAATATAGATCGAGACTTAGGGTTATTAGTCTTGATCCACAAGAAACACACACACACACACAGCTTAAGGGGCGGATCGGTTCGGGTCGTCGGGCTCGCGGGTCGGCCGGTTAGCCTAATGGTTCGGGTTTCGGTTTACTCGGGCTCGATTAAGACGCACGATAAAATAAATAAACCGGGTATAATACTTATTTAATTATAATACACACAAATTAATTTAACAATACTAATAATAATAATAATACAAATACACATCTATGAGATCAGTTACAATTAATCAAATAATAATATTTAAACATTTAAGCATTTAATTACAATTTAACAAATAAATAATATTAGACATTCAATAATAATAATAATAATATTAATAATGATAAATAATTCCCAAATATTCCATAATCAAACGGGGCATTACAAATCCGGTCGAGCTTCTCATTATGCTCTGAGGATCGCTCCTGATATTCGTAGGTCTGCTCAACCGGGTGCCCAATTCCATTACTTCTCGGAAGGAAAAGGTTGGCTGTAGTACCCAAAAATGTAGCTCGGTCCATTATTCCAGTAAAGAGTGTGCTAGGAGGAGAAAGCATTGTTCGAGTTCATTGATTCCTTCGGTCAAAATCCCTGCACACAAGAACAGAACAACCACGTGAATCCACAAAGAAGAAAAGAAGACAAAAAACAAAAGCAAAGAGAAAAACAAGGGCGCAAAGAAAGAACACAAACACAAATACCACAATATAAAGAGAAACACAGGAAATAAAATCAACACCCAAACTAAATATCCTACTTGCCTTCCCTAGCAACGGCGCCAAATTTGTTGTAGCACAATTGTTATTTTTACCAAGTACTGAATCAAATAATTCGTCCCCCGGGTCGATCTATCGAGGAAGGCAGTTGGGAATTTAAAATTGGTAATGATAACAAAAAAAAAAGGAAAATAAATCCTAAACACTCTAGTCAGGATGAGGGTAGAATAATTATCAACTAAGAAATAATATAAAAACAATAATCTACCTAAAAATATAAACGAAACAAAAATGGAGAAGCTAGAGAATCGGGGATAATTTGTTAAGTTCGAGATTGAGACTCTAGCTTGGACATCTGGCGGTTCGCTCCCAATAACTCTTCGTAACAAGGGATTGAACATAGACGAACAAGCTCGAGTATACAATACAGGTCAATTATCCAATCCTAATAACTTTTCGTACTAAGGGACGGGTCATTGACAAGCACGTATTTCAATCCAAAACCTATAAGACTATTCAATTACAAAATCATCTACCTCATGCGATCCTAGGTCCACAACTTCTCCCCTTTCGGTTCTGAAAGTCACTAATTAACTAGAAGGTGATTAATCAACTAATCATATTGAATTGACAAACCTTAACTCGACAAACTAACATTCAATCGTTTCCAATCGCAAGATCGAAGTGTCACTCTTCGATTATATCAATCAATCAAGCACAAATTCATCAATTCCGAATTATATCAACTCACTTAAGCATGAACAAATCAAGACCGACAAAATACGAATCAAACAAGAACAATCATCCCCTATCCCTAGCAATAAGAATTAGCTAAGTGAAATCAATTCAACACAATCCATCATCTCTCTCAATTCAATCATTTTCATGAATTAAAAATAAAGAGAAGAACTTACAATAAATCGCAATTCCAAGTGTTGAATCTGAATGACAAGCTTAATTCCTAAGTACTATGAAGAAGAAGAAGAAAAATGGAAAAGAAAGGTGAAGAGAAGAAGAAAAATAAAGAAGAAGAAGAAGAAGGGAAGGAAAAAGGAGTTTAGTGTTTTTTACGGGCTAGGGTTCATGCTAATGGGGGAACCCTAATCATAGTCCACGAGACCGAAAGTTCGAAAAGGCCTATACCTTGAAGCCCGGAGAAAAAGCCCTTCTTAGTCAAGCTTCGGCCCTATGGAGTGAAAGGAGCAGGGCCATAGTCCCGATAGCTCCCCAGAAGAGGAGAATATTTTTTAAGTGAAGTCCCGATCAGATATATATAGGAGAGAGGTGACCACGGCAGGTGAGCGTGGAAGGAGTGGGCGCCGCGGGGCGGAGGGTCTTCACGGCGCGACGCTAGGAAGCCTAGGAGGCTCTGTCGGGGTCGCGGAGGACGCCACGGCTTGGAGGAAGACAGTGCCGCGCCGCGGAGGAAGACAGTGCCGTGCCGCGGAGGGTTGCCGCACCGTGGCGCGCGGGCCTGCTGGCTCGACTGCGCGACTTTACGTTTTGGGCTCGTTTAGGCTCGTCCGAACTCAGAATTGAGTTCTGTATTTTCCTATGCGTCGCTAAAGAACTCCTCTATTCAGTGATGCTTGCATGGAAAAATTATTCTTGAAATCATATTCTCCCAAAGCTCTTGACCTACACACTAAACGTGTTTCGCGCGACTTTGCTCTTTGGGCCCGTTCAGACTCGTCCAAACCCGAAATTGAGTTCTGCTTCTTTCTATATGTCGCCAACAAACCTCTTTGCACAACCATGATTGCTCGGTCAATTTTCAGGCTAAATCTATTCCTCACGAGCTTCTGGCCTGCACACCAAAAACGAATAAAAATTGGAAAAATACACGAAAAACACATAGAAAACCAAAATAGAGTGAAACACACAATAAACTACAAAAATGAATAAAAACCAACGAAAAGACAAAAAACAGGGAAAAAGAATGACAAAACAATACCGAAAAACGCAACAAAAATGGGACGAACACGTTCGACTCATGGAGTCGATATCTCGAGAGTATGAGCATGTCGGGGTTGTGCTGTATATATGTGGTACCTTGTCGAAGTCTCTGATAGAGAGCATGGACCATGATGAAATCGTGAGCGAGTTATCAGTGTGACTCAGACACGAGACTAAAGATTGGCGCCACGTGTCCACCTCGATGGTGAAACTGTCGGAGTACGCTAGCAATACACCGAACTAGTTGTTGAGGTCTTATGTGTTGATAGGTACGGAGCAAGTTGTTGATACTCATGGGTATAGGCCAAGCCGGACTAGTTCCCTGGAAATAGGATATACGCCTGAGCTCAGGCAGGATTGATCACCCTCCCATGCAAGAAGACAAACATATGAGCATAGGGCGAGTCGGATTGGGTCCTGTATGTGAGTGTATGCCTTTTGAGTATAGAGCAATAAGACTCATGCGAGCGGGGTCGAGTGTCAGAGAGGATTCCCAGCCTTCATGATTGGAAATTCTCATTTGAGTCTGTCGTTTTCCTTTGGAGGCGTGTTCTTTAGTATTTCCGAGGACGGAAATCTTTTAAGGAGGATAGATTGTAGCGCCCCGTTCGATTTGTAGAATTTCTCGGATTATTCTATTTTTCATATTTTTTTTATTTATTTATGTCTATTATTATTGGTTGTGATGTCCCCAGTATTTGGTACTTAAACTATATATTTAAGTACTTGATCGTTTATTTTTTTTTTATATAATGTTCGTCTTTCGGCGATTTCAGTTTAATCGCATAAACCGAATCTGATCTGTTTGAATAATGGAATTTTCGTGATTATTTGGATTTTATATAATTTCATGGTATTGACTTATTTTGGGCTATTTATGATTATTAGTCGATTAAAAGCCATCACAATATATTGTCTTAAAGATAATATAATGTTCCATTCGAATATTGGATTTTTCGGAATTATTTTAAGAAAAATGGCATTTTATTTTATTATTTATATGCCTTGACTATGTGCTTAAAATTATATTATTATGTGGATAATATAATTATATAAGTCGTTCGATTTTATTTTATCGTTCGCCGTTCGGACTTTCGGTTTAATCGCGTAAAGCTTTTAACGACCCGTTCTTATTATTTTCTCAAGCAATGGAACCGAGCTTCAAAGCATTTATTCCAGCCCTTATATGGCTCCCTTTTCAGCCTTATGACCCAACAAAACCGGGCCTGAATGCCTCGTCAAACCCCCCCTCATCTCTTGAGTGTAACTCAGGTGGGCTGAGAGCTTGTGTGCTCAAATGGGCCTGGAGTGTGGCCTGGGAAGGTTGAGAGGTGCTTGTGGGCTGCGGGCCCGGGAAAGAGAGAAGGGGGATGGGCCATAAAAGGTGGTTCTGAGGTTGAAAAGAAAGAGAGGGTGAATGAGGCCGATTGAGGTGGGCCGGTTGTACAAGTGTATTGGGCCCAAGTAAGACGTTGGATTTTTGACCCAAGGAGTTTCCCCTTTGCTCAGGATTGGCTACATTGCCAAACCCTACCACTTGGCCCTAGTCTATACGATGTGAAGATTGGGAAGGCTGTTGACCAGTATACAATGGAAGGGTGGCGGCGGGTATCGTCTTCTCTGGCAAGACAATTTCCAGCTGCGGGCTGTATGACCCGAAGACGAGCGGCAATTCTGTGTGCTCGATTTTTGCCGACGCTGAAGACTCGATTGGATTTTTCTCGGCCACTGTAACTATTTCTCCTTCTTCTATGCTTTTGCTTTCTCCTTCTTCCCCATTTTTTGTTTTGTTTTTTTCGAGAAAAGCTGAGAATGCCATTCGAAAATTAGGTTGTGACATGAAAAGATCCAGCTCTGATGTATGAATGGAGGATGGAGGTTTTCTGTTGGCTAGAGAATTTTTCGTAGGGCCCATGTTTGGCCGAAACTGAGACTAGCGGACTAAATCGATTTTAGACTGAGGTTGAAAAAACAAAGGTTAAATATTGAATGAAGAATTTTGGTTGATATTTGGTTTTTGTGCGAGAGGAGGGTGGCCGGGTGCCGGCCGGCGCCGGCACCGCCTTGCCGGACTGAAAACTGGACAAAAAACAAAAGGATTTTTGGTGAAAGGGGGTGAATCTGAGTAGATGGGTTCTAGAGAGAAGGTAGAGAGGTTTTTTCTAGAGAGAGAGAGCATAAAGAGTTTTTTCTTGCTGCTAGGTTAGTTGTATTTTGTTGCTAGGTTAGTTGCCTTTTGTTGCTAGGTTAGTTCTTTCTTGCTGCTAGGTTAGTTGTCTGATGCTGCTAGGTTAGTTGTCTATGCTGCTAGGTTAGTTGTCTTTTATTGCTAGGTTATTTCTTCTTACTACTAGGTTAGTTGTCTTTTGTTGCTAGGTTATTTCTTTCTTGCTGCTAGGTTAGTTGTCTTTTGTTTCTTGGTTAGTTATCTTTAGCTGCTAGGTTAGTTGTGTTTTGTTGCTAGGTTAGTTGTTTGTTGTTGCTTAACAAACAACGCCCCGGAAGGGCGGGGGATTGGGCTGGATCCCCAACCTGTGCATAGATCAGGGCCAAAAAATTGGGAGCCCAAAATATCAACGAACAAGATACAAAAGTCTAAGGAGTCTCACAAACAAAGTCAAAACAAAAGAAAAACAAAAAAGATAAACCGAAAAACGAAAAAGGAAGCAAAAAATACAATACAAAGCCGATCTTCGGGCTAACAGATGCCCGAAATAAAAGTCTATACTAAAGGAAACAGAAATCCTAAACTAGTGAAAGCGGAACGCTGGATATCCAAGCTGGTCCATCCGTACAAGAGTGCGAAGGCGGAGTGGAGCAGTGTCGGTCTGGAATGTATGTGTGCCTGGTATGGTGGCGCCAAGGCTGGCCAGGTAATCAGCCGGTCTGTTCCCCTCACGGAAGATGTGCGTGATCCTATGATGGGCTGACCGAAGTAGATCTCTAATGCGCATAAGCGGATGCTGAATCTGCCACGAGCCCTGATGGCCCGAAGTCAGGAGTGTGGCGACAGCCGCAGCATCCAGCTCGATCCATATATGACTAGAGAGGTGGACAGCAATCTGAAGGCCAATCTGTAGTGCCTGAATCTCTGCATCGTAGCTCGAGGAGGCCTGAATGGACGCGTGGAAGGCGGTGATGAGGGCGCCGCTATGGTCCCGAATCAAGCCTCCTCCTCCAGCAAGTCCAGTGTGGCGATCAAAGGAGCCATCAGTGTTCAGCTTGACCCACGGAGAGTCAGGTCGAAGCCAAACAACAGCTCTGGCCCGAGGAGGCCGAACAGGCGGTGGTGGGGCCACCATGTAGCGATGCGGTGGCGTGCAGCCTGTCCAGTCTCGGGCCGTGAGCCTGCCCAATGCGATGAGGAGTGAAATATGTCTCTCTACCTGCAAAACAATGTGAGAATACATAAAAGTAATATCCCTATGCTTTGCACTATTCCTTTCTGTCCAGGTGAACCAAAGGATCAGACAAGGAATGAGGAAGCCCACGTGTCTAAGGTGTGTGCTCTGTGAGAAAAAACTCAGGAGCTCAAAAAAACTGCATGTGGTGGGTAGGGATATATGAGTCCAAGTGGCAAAATGCTCCCACACTCTCCTCACAGTCTCACTCTCTAGAAAAAGGTGGGTAAAGGTCTCAGTCTCATGGCGTCCAGTCTCAGAAGAACACACACACCGTGAGGGGAATGAGATCCCTCTCGCGTGTAGCACAGTATCGACGGGTATCCGGCGCAGGAGGAGGCGCCAAAGGAACACCGAAATAGTAGGCGTGAAAAGGTCACTCCAGATAGCCCCGAAGAGGAGATTAGGCCGATCCCTCAGCCTTATCTGCTCCCAAGCCGAGGTAGTAGAAAACACACCTGATGATGTAAGTCTCCACCTCATGCTATCTGAACCGTCCCCCGAGATAGGGATCTGCTGGATCTGATCTAATAACTGCTCGCTAAAACCCGCACCAACCCCCAACTCCCTATCAAGCTTCCTCCTATCCCACGACCCGTCCGTCCAGAGGTCGCTCACGAGCAGGTAGGGGGAATGCGATACCTGCATATCCCTAGACAACGGCCTATCACCTACCCACCACTCATCCCAGACACTGACATCGCCCCCACCCAAAACCCAAAAGATGTGATCCTGGGCTCGCCTCCCGACCCTAGTGAGGCGCCGCCATTGTCTGTTATCATGATCAACAGCCGTGACCCAACAAGGGTGGTTGGCACGTCTAAGGCAGTACTTGCCGCGAAGGTACTGAGCCCAAAGCGACTTTCCTTCCCTGAAGCGCCACCACAGCTTGTATACGAAAGCTGTAACAATGTCTCTGAGGCGGCAGATGTCAAGGCCACCCTCGGGGAGGGAGCGGCAGATAGAGTCCTTACTCACCCAGTGAGTACGTCTCCCCCTCCCAGACCCGTCCTTATAACCCCAGAAATAACGAGCCATAATCTGGTCAAGCTCGTCAAGAGTAGACCTAGGGGGGTCGAGGATCATAAGCAAGTGAATCGGAAGAGAGCTAAGAGTGCTCTTAATCAGCGCTAGTCGACCACCGAAACAAAGATATCTATGCGACCACCCAGAGATCCTGTCGATCATCCTCTGCCTGACGCCCGCAAAGAGCGCTCTCGTGAGGTTGCCCTTATATAAAGGGACCCCGAGGTAGGTAATGGGAAGGTTGCCACGGGCAAAGCCAGTAATGTCGTGGACCCGCTGAACCCACCTGTCCACGGTGGCAGATGAAAGGATGAAGGTGCTCTTCTGCACATTGACCAGCTGACCGGTGACCAAGCCATAGTGCTCCAAAAGGCGCATAAGCTCGACCAGTCCATGATCATCCGCCCGGGTGAAGATAATGATGTCATCCGCATAAGAGAGGTGAGAGATGGTAGGACCATAGCCACGGGTGCTATAGGTCATATTGGGAGAGTCGCGGATGAAGCCGTCAAGGCAGCGAGAGAGGTAGTCCGCCGCAAGAACGAAGAGGGAAGGGGAAAGGGGGTCGCCCTGTCTAAGGCCTCTAGAGGAGGGAAAGAAATCGGTGGGCCTACCAATAACCAGGACCGAGAACGTGCAATGCTCCACACACGCCTTCACAAAGCTGATCCAACGCTCAGGAAATCCCATCCTAGCCAACGCCTCCCTAAGAAAAGGCCACTCAACCCTATCATACACCTTAGCTATGTCTAGCTTCAGCGCGATATTCGGAGCCCGCTTCCAGTCCGCTCGGGAGATGTCGTGGATCATCTCCTGGGCCAGAAGTATGTTATCACTAATGACCCGATCCTTGACGAATCCACTCTGGTTCGGAGAGATGAGAGAGGGGAGAAGAGGGGAAAGGCGGCCGTTAAGAATCTTCGAAATGAGTTTGTTGGTCACGTTACACAGGCTGATGGGCCTGTAATCTGACCAAGAGCTCGGGTTGGGTCATTTGGGGATCAAGACGACAGAGGTAGACGTGAAGGAATTCGGCATCCGGTGGCCGGAGAAAAAATCCAACATTGCCTCCTCGACGTCAGTCTCGACAAGATCCCAACAGACCTGATAGAAGAGAGAGGAGAAACTATCCGGGCCAGAAACGCTGTTGGGATCAATCCCGAATACAGCATCCCTTACCTCCTCCCTACTCGGGAGCTCACAGAGGCCAATGAGATTGACCGACGGAGGGATGGTGGGGAAAAAGGAAGCGGTCGGGGCCACGAGGGACCCTCTGAGGGTCTGGAAGTGAGCAACAGCCGACTCCCGAATCTGAGCCTCTTGGGTCAAGGATGACCCATCAGCCTCGATACTATGGATGTACGACTTAGCACGCTTCTGCCTGCCTAACGTAGCCCTGGAAGAACCTAGTGTTCCGCTCGCCCTCAGCCACCCAGCAAACGGCCGCCTTCTGCTTCCAGAAGTCCTCCTCCATAAGGAGTCGGAGCTGGTACTCGGCGTGGCAGCGGTGCATGGCAGTCCTATTCTCCGGAGTGGGATCCAGGTCATAGGCCCGCTCAGCCGTCGCGTGCGCACTCTGAGCCGCAGCAAGGCGCTGATGGAGGTTTCTAAAAACATCCCAGTTCCACTATCTCAACCGACGCCGCAGTCTGCCGAGCTTCGCCTCGAGATTGCGCATCCCGAAGATCCCAGTCGGCTGAAGCCAGGAATCCCTGACAGTGTCGTGGAAGGAGTGATGGCGAACCCACATGTTTTGGAACCTAAACGAAGAGCGACGGCGGGTGCTCGAAAATCGGCACCGGATGAGAAGGGGTGAATGGTCGGACCCGAATCGAGTAAGGTGTGTGACGGTCGTAGCCGCAAACACCTTCGACCACGCCTCAGAAACTAAGGCACGGTCTAACCTCTCTTTGAGTCCGTCCCTCACCCACGTGAAGGGCTCACCATCACATCCAGTGTCAATTAACTCGCAGTCCGCCACCGCCTGAGCAAAATCCCACATCTCCCGTGACCGGTCTGTGCGGCCATCCATACGCTCATCGGGATGCAGAAAGATGTTGAAATCGCCACTAACCATCCATGGCAATCCCTTCGTACTCTCGACAATCTCACGCAGGGTGTCCCAAAGGTCATATCGCCCGACCCTAGTACACTTGGCATAAACCAAGGTGTGAAAGATGGGCTCCGGGAGGTGGCCAGTGGAAATCTCTACGTGAAGCACCTGATCGGTGTCGCGGAGGACCCGACAGGTGTAGTCACGCGAGTGGAAGAACCAGATCTTGTGCGAAATATTACCCACGCCCGAGTGGAAGCCCAGTCAACGCGAGTAGTGGTCAAAAGAAGGAGTGCGAATCATCGGCTCAATAAAGCCAACAAAATCGACTCTGTGGTCACGAATGAGAGAATGAAGGTGAGAGAGAGTAGCCCTGTTCGCCAGGCCACGGTAATTCCAAGTAATGGATGTAATGGACATATCAACGGTCGCAAGAGCCACCGGACGTAGTCCGCCTATGGCGAGGCTGATTCGGGCCACCTAAAGAAGGGGAGATCGTCCGTCGTGTCGTGCGGCGGAAGGGTCCAATAGCAGGGGAGATCGTCCGCCGTCTTGTGCGCTGTGTGGCTTTGGTCCTCGAGGTCTGTCTGTCTCGGTATGTACTCGTGGCCTGTGAGTCGTCTGGCTGGACAGACTGACCTATAGCAGCACTAGCGGGTTGCCCCATCTCCGGGGATGTCTCCTATCTGTCAAGGTGAAGAAAAGCACTAGAGGCGAAGCTCTCGCACGAGACGTCATGCTGCGCGCGGTTGAGCCCACATATCTGCTCGGGGATGGGTGAAAGAGGGAGTCCAGCAGGCAGAGCACTTGGGTGCTCGCCGGTAGAAGGAGGCTGGGAGGTGGCTATAAGATTTACCGAGCTCCCAATCCCAGCAGGGGGGCGATGGGCCGACTCATCCCCTTTCGGGGGAGCGGTGGCGGCAGTAGCCCTCAAATCCGAAGATCGGACCGGACTAGATGCGCGCACGGTCAAAGGACCGGCATCGCGCACACTATCATCGGATAGGTGGATGGACTCTCCCCTGGGTGTGGCGTCCGGCAGGTCCATGTCGTCTCCAAGGAGGTCATCGTCATCCAGAAGCGTAAGATCAGTAGTCTTAGGTGGCCTGCTGGAGGAAGGAACAACATCCTTCTCTGCCTCAGGGGAGAGAATAGCAAAATAGGAGTGGTTGGCCTTGAAGGCCGTCTGTAAGGTCTGTCTAGGGAGAAAGCCCGTGGACTTGGGCTTGGGACCCACTAAGGCCAACTGCTTAGGCTGGTTAGGATGAGCATCCTTCCCAGTTTGGGCAGTATCGAGAATCGCAGCCTTGCCCTTATCCTTAGACCCCTTCGGGGTCTCGGGCGCGCGGAGAGGGCTTTTGCCCTTTCCCTTTGGGTCCCTCCGGCTGGTGGAGGTTCCCTGCTGGGTCGCACGATGGCGCTGCGGGAGAGCGGGCCGTGGCTTATTGCCACTGATGTAGCAATCGGCCGCAACATGACCCACGTGGTTGCACGAGGTGCAGAAAGCGGGGATCTTCTCATAGATCATCCGTTGAACAAGAGACTCCGAGCCCTGCTCAATCTCAATCTCATGAACAAGCTCAGCTCTCAGATCTATCTCGACGCAAAATTGCGCCACGTTAGCCCTCGTCTGAAGGGCCGTCGGGGCGTCGATACGAATCGGCTGCCCAATACACTTAGCTAGTGTAGTGATGGCAGCACGGTCATAAAGATGGGGTGGGAGACCGGGAAGGCGGCACCACACGGGGACGACCGACGCCTCCGTCTTCGGGTTAAACCCGGCATAATATTTGAACACCCTAGCTGGGCATCCACACACATGAATGGAGGTCTTAAGCCAGACCTCGTTATAGTCCTCGGGAAGGTGAAACGAGACTAGAAGGTGGTTGAAATTGTACCACTTCGACGACACTCTACCCTTAAAGCCCAGTTTTCCTAACCCAGCAGATATATCTCGGGGAGCGGGGATAGCATATGAAAACTTAAAGACCAGAGTGTTAGCTAGCTTACCCGCAAGAGCAACAGATTCGGCTTCAGTGTATCGGCCTTCACCTTGTTTCCCTCCGAGCGGATGATGGTTCCGCAGGCATGTTCGTATTCTCCGTCAAAAGTAAAGTCCTTGGATGATGGCTGCGGGGCGCCCGTGTCGCCATTTCTTCTCCCGGTAATAGCCTCCCGGAAGGAAAGCGGGCCCGTGGAGGTGCTTGGAAAAGACCCGGCAGCAGCGGGGTTAGCCTTGGGTGGGCCCGTTGGCGGTATCCCGTTCGTGGAAGGTTCGATAGGATGAGCCGCCGACGCCGTGATTGGTCCCGCAACCACAACACCGTCTACTCGCATATACATGACGTCCGGTTCAGAATTTCCGACCGCAAGAGTGGCAGCTCCGGCGAGTTGGTTGTCGGAGGAGGTGTGCTTGGTCGGGGACCGAGGATTCCGGCCGAGGAAGTTAATTCCCGGTAGGATTTCCGGCGAATTCTGAAATTCCGGTGACGTCTCCGGCGCCGGCGAAGGGCAGCACGGCGGCTGTCGGCTGGATGGCTGCTGAGGGGGAGGTCGGGAGGCGGGAGGCGAGCTGAGAGGATGTTGTGGCAGGAGATTGGTTGGTGGGCTGTGGTGTGGTGGTGAGCTGGGCTGTAGGCTTTGGATTGGTGTGGGGTTTGGGTTTGATGGTTGTTAAGGGAAGGCCCAAAAATGGGCTGAGAATGGTTGAGGGCTGAGAGGAGGTTAAATGGGCCTTTTGATTTATGGGGCCTGAG